GGGGGAAATCTCAAAAATGGAAGGATCCACTATAGCCTCACTGGAAGGATGAAAGACTTGAAAAAAATCTCTTTATCCCAGTAAATTATTCTACGCTAAAGATTATAGAGTTAATTGATTGCACTGAGCATTACAGACAGGCATTTACTGGGCAAACTAGCAGCATGGGATTAAGGTACCACAGCAGAATATCAAATAGCTGAAGAACAAAGTTGCCAGTACAGATGCAGAGCTGTCTGAAACTTGAGAGCAGCAAGGAGCTGGCAGAGGGGCTTTGCCATGATGACAGTAAGCAATTAGCACAAAACCGAAGGCAAACAGGAGGTCAAACTGCCTGTGTAATGAAGTAGTAATAGTGCTAAAATAAGAAAAGCAGAAGCTTCAACAGCACATCTTCAAGGGAAGGGTCAACTCCAGTTAACACGTGAAAAAACTAAGACTGTTTTGTTCTTCAGCTTTAGTACAAATCAGCTGAAGATTGTGCTGGGTAGGACTTCCCGAGCAACTCCTGAGGAAAACGAACAAAAGTTTCAAGTGAAGAACTATGTTGTGCATCAGAGATTTGACTCAGAAAATTTCAACAATGATATTGGTAAGAACTTTTCTGACCTCATGACTGGAAAGGTCACAGTTGGCTCAAGTCTGTGGTTAATGAAGTGGGAATTTTTTTTCCCCCTCTTCAGCTCTGTTGCAGTTGAACTCAGACTGTGCTACTGAAACAGACACCGTCCGTGCTGCCTGCCTCCCAACACCAGAACTGCAGCTGCCTGACTGGACTGAATGTGAGATCTCTGGTTATGGCAGAAATGAAGAATGTAAGTAGAAGATCCATGTCTACATGTAAACAGAAGATACTATGTCCAAAGTTTGGGTCCCCTGCCCTCAGAGAATTCAAGCCTTTAGCATCACAATGTGCGACCCCCTGAATTATTATACAGGCTTATATCAGCACTACAAAACATATGCATAAGTGGGAGATACACAAAAACAAGTTGTGCTGTAACCTATTTCATTCATCTGAGTTCTGTCAGCTGCATGGGCTAGCAGAGTCTTCCTTAATAATGCCCCAACAGTAGAAACACAAATGGCACAATAGATAAGCTAGGAAAGACAGAAAATTTGCAATCAAGGCTGCCACATTTCTGCTGTAGTGGGTACATTTAGATATTGTTTTTCTGACAGAAATCCACTTCTGTCAAGATTTAATATATTATACAGCTGCATTATCCTAAAAGATACATTGGCTGTTCAGTGATTAGCCAAAAAAAAAAAACCCAACACGCTAAAGAAATAACAATCCTAGGTATATATTGAGAGGCTGGCTAAATGGTTTTTAAAGTGAGCTACAACAAACGTCAATAAAACCAGTCTGAAAGTACACACTGGCTGACCTATATTTAAAACAAACAAAATAACCAAGCTCTTATTTTACTGGCACTTTCTACTAATTTCTTTTTATTCTCTAACTTGTAAACTCTTTGAGACAGAGATTCTGAAGCATCCATCATAACAAGAGTTAATAATGATTTAAACCCATAGGGTTTTTGGAACAGACTTGAAGATTTAACATGTAAGTGTGGCACAAAGTATTTTTTAAGGTGCTTTAAAGCCAGTCCTCCACGTTGCTTACAGGGAGTACTGGATAAACTCTTTGAGAGGGAAAGGATGCTGCAACTGTAATTCAAAACTAGACTGAAAAACAACAATCCTGCCAACTTTCAGCTTTGTGCAATTGCAGCTATGCAGGAGAATAAAACCAACACCCAAAACAAAAAAACAAAAAAATCCCTAACATAAGCATAACAGAAGTGTACATTCCTATACAGTTACTCAGTATTGTGTTCGACAAGGCATCTGATTTTTGTTATCACAAGTCTAATAGTAAGAAGTCAGGAAACTGTTTCATACATTTAGTGATATTTTGATTGATGTGTTTAAAGATGACTTGTCCATCCAGGAAACCCAGCAGTCTTTAATTTGGAGCCTACAAAAACCTCTTTAGCATTTAAGCTTGCTAAAGAAGTCATATTCTCTCTCAATGAGATTTAGGCTGTTCTCGCTAGCGAAATAGAACTCCCAAGAGTTAAAAAAGACCCTTTAGCAAAGAAATATTAGTTTAGCCACCCCTTCAGCCCCAGCTACTTCTGTTTACTCTCCCCTAAACTACAGAAACTGAACTGCTTTTTATATATATATATACACATATATACAGACATATATATGTATTTATATTGTCATTTTTCTTCCAGTTTCTCCATTCTATTCAGAGCACCTGAAGGAAGGCCATGTCCGACTGTTTCCAGCCAGTCGGTGCACAGCACAGCATCTAGACAATCGGACAGTTACAGACAATATGTTATGTGCAGGAGACACAAGGCACCTTGATGATGCCTGCAAGGTAAGTCCAATTCTGTTACCTCTTTTCTTTTTAGGTCTGTCCTTGATAGTCTGAGCTAAACAACCAAAAAGCTTCAGAAAATAGTTTAAAGAAGTTCTGCATTTGGCTACATGGAAGTTCTAGTAGACTTTTTTTTTGAACAGAACAGAACTGCTGGCTCCTCTTTGTTTTTTCTTTCCCTGCCCCTAATAGCCGGGAAAGCAGGCCACACTTAACCAAGCAAACCAGAACAATACAGACTGAAAATCCCAAATATAGGAAATACCACAAAACTGAGCAGGAAACTCCACCTCGACAGCATTTCCTAATATTTTCTCTTACGTGAGCATGCAAAACACTCATCAGGAGGTTCTGTAAGAGGAAAGGGGTGCCACTCTACTGACAAGTGGAGAAAAGAGGAACAAAGGCCAAAACATGGTGGAGAACGAGCAGCTGTAACACGAAGAAAAGGACAGCACGCATTCAATCCACATCCTTTCCATTTACAACAGCTGTTTAATAATTTTGCTTTACTGTTACACACAGCAGTATAAAACACCCTGAATCTTTATAGCTTGAATAACAGCATTCCATTCTTGTTTGTATCAACTTCTCATCTACATTTCATAAATGAGCACCAAGTTAACCGCTTTAGTGTTAGTCAGATTTCATTGGGTCTCTCCCCATGAAAGGAGCATTGAGGGAGTCTGGAACACAAAATTGGCTTATGTGAAAGTGCCATTATGAAGAGCTCTTGATTTTTGAGCACACTGCATAGGGTATTTCCATAGAAACTAGTGCACCACTAAGCCCGGGGCGGGGAGGGGGGAACACAACACAAAAATATACAAAAAAGGAGATTGTCACTAACCTGCTACTTCTCTGTAGGGTGACTCTGGAGGGCCTCTGGTCTGTATGAAGGATGATCGTATGTATCTAATTGGAATCATCAGCTGGGGAATAGGCTGTGGCCGTAAAGACATACCTGGTGTTTATACAAATGTGAATCGTTATCTTGACTGGATTCAGGACAACATGAAACCCTGAGAAAGAAAAATGAACTATGCACAATCCTGTGGCCATGCTTTCACAGCTTCCTTCCAAGTGCTTTAAGGATGCTAACGGGGCTTTCTATTTGTCCACATGCTTATGACTTTCAGTACAAGAGGAAGACAAACTGCAGTGTGTGGAAAGGGCGCATTCTCAAATTACTCTCCTTTCCTTACTACAGGTTATTGGAAGCTAACACTCCTTCTGCCCCACATTCCCAATGTCTCTCCTTGCATCAAATCACACGAGTACAATTAAAAATAAATTTTGGCCCAAGAGAACAAACCAAGAGAGTACATCATGCATCCCATGAGCAGCGCTGTTATTTTGGGAATTGGTGTGAACTGAAGTCAAAGGGGACAGATTTAACCTCCTGAAAACTTCATCTCTGTCCTTCTTCTTTGACTGTAAATTTGGAAAACATTCCAGTCAGGCTTAAGCTCTGTCCTTATACCATTTTACTTTGGTTATTTAAGCTGGTTTCAGCTTGACTCCAATAGAAAGAGCAAAGCTGTAGGCATGGGCAGCTTATTTCAATAACAATATACTACTTGCTTTGTCAGTTTGGAACCGATTCATTAACAGAGTCTGAGCTTAAACTCTCTCAGCAAATCCAGGATGGCATTGCTTGCTAGGACAGTCTGTTCTTCGACTTGCTTTTCCTCCTGGTAGGAACTAAATAGTTAAATAAATATGGAATACGTAAAAAATCTTAACACCAGCCTTATCTGCCACAGTATCAACACATTACTTTTTTACTATTACATTTCTATGCATTACCATCTGATATAAAACCAAAAGCTCTGTTCAGCACAGCAGGGCAGAACAAAGGACAAGTGTAATGGTAGCAGTTTTAGGTGCCTGCTAGATTACATCTACAAGTAAAGATCAAGTCAAATGTCACAAGGCTGCATTTGTCCTTTAACAGAAGACAGGACAGGTATAGTCAAATCACCGTGAACTAAAATCTCAGTAATCAAGCATGACTTACTTGCAATGCAGTTGCCATGTGACGCTAAGTGGTATCTATGTATGTCATAAGAGTTAAGCCTCTTTGAGATTATCTTTCGTCCAGCTGTTTTACGAAGTAAGAGAAAGCACGTGACTACCGTTTTACAAAAGGAAAAATATCGTATCGAGGCTGCAAAAAGAGTTTAGTGTTAGCATCAATTAGGCATTGTAGCTAGGAAACTAGTCTGTTGTATTTGGGAAATTCAAAACATTGTAACTCAAAGCATTTACTTCCACAGTTTTAAGGAGCTCTCCGATTATATACTAGGACAGCCTGTAGTCAAATAGAAAAGCTTATATAAGTAGTTACAGAAGAGAGCTTTGGTAAGGACACCCATTACGTCCTCAGATGGGTTTTGTAAATGGCAACTTTACAAGTGGTCCATGTCTTTCTAGCTACCAGCTTAGAAAGAGATCTTCTCTAATGTCCTCAGAGAAATACTTGTGTAAGTCCAGTTAACTTCAGCAACAAGTCCCATATGCCAGCCAGTGGAAGGGGAAAAAAAACCCAAGATGTTTATTAAAAAAAGAGTCATATTTCAGGTCTTTTGGTGTGATTTTTTTGTTGTTGTTAATTGTATTTTATTAGGTATTAACCTTGAGAAAAAGATTAATTAATTTCCATTCCTCTCCCCTAAACCCATTTCTAAGTGCTGCTGTGCCTCGCTATCCTGGCATTCACAAGCCTGCCAAATATTTGCAGCCTGTAAAACACCCTAAACTGTTACAATGAGTAACACAGGAAAGTGTCCTCAGGAATGTAACTGTTGTTCCACAATTCAAACAGTCTATTAAATACATTATTTGAGCTTGATGTGATCTAACAGCCACCAATAAAAGGTAACTGAATCACACCTGGTACTGTTACTTTTTAGAAAAATAAATCCTATTAAAAAAAAAAAAAAAAAATTAAATCAAAGTTGCAGAGAACAGTTTTACATCACAGCTGTTACCAGCTCCTTGAAAATACCCTTACATGAAATATCCAAGGTGACAAGAGAGCTACATAAGCCTTAGCTGCCACCTCTGCACTGGTTGCTTCCTTCCATCCTGGTCTGTCTTCTCTGATGTCTTCCCCGTGGCCAACTCAAAGCGGGACCCAGAATCAACTCCAAATTTTTCCAAATGCTTCTTTATCCCTCATTTTATAACAGATCCTCAATCTGGGAGATTTACCAAATCCCAGTCCAATAACTAGAACTTAACTCCAGCCTTACTTTAACTTCTTGCGTTTCATTTCTCAAAAGTTGCTGCCACCTAGCTCAGTGCATTTAACTGCATTTCTCTAGCTTGTTTACCCATTATGTCCCTCCCTCATAAAAAAATCCAAGATGGTTTCCATCTCTACATCAAATTTTTCTCTTCTTATCCTGTTTTTTTTTCCCCTACTTGTCCTCGTCCAGCACACAGTAGCACCATCTTGAGACAAGGTGTAAGACAATAATGACTATGATCTGCTTGACTGATCTCTCTTCTTACTTTGCAGTTGATACATTCTTCTTTCAGAACCTGAGTCAACATCACCATTTATTGTAACAAGTACACACCCACACCTCACATTTCTTTCCAAAATTCCTTGTATCATCTACCAAGTTATCTCACTAATTTCGCTCCCCACTTCCCCCTTCTGCCCCGCTTCATCCCTCACTCCATACAAACTTGCAGTTGTCTCAGACTTGATAGAGAAAGCTTGTCATAAGGGCCACACACCCTTATGCATATAAGA